GGCATTTAAAGCGTAAAAAAGGTGGAATTAACTGGAAAATTATATAGCATCAGTCCTGCTCAAATTTTTCACCATTTTCATGATTTGGGTGGCGTTTTGGTGGCATTTCGGTGGCATTATTGGTGGAAAATTGTCTAAATACTACACCATAAAAAAGGGTGGCATTTAAGTGGCAAATCTAGGGACAGGTATACCACGTTGTTTCAGATGTAAACAGAAACAGAGAGTGTTATCTTCATATTCTCTCTATTTTGACATCCAAAGAAAAATATAGTTTGTTTCGGTACAATAATGATTGAAAATATGTATAACAACCATTTTGAATTTCAAAATTCCCACTGGGGTACAATTTAAACAAATCCGACTAAATGTCAACAGGTTGGCATTTTGTACTTTCGGTTTCTACAATCATAATAATAAATATATAAATAATGTATTGTTTGCATTTGTTTCTATGAATTCACATAGTTTAGGTGGACTTTTACTTAAGCTAGTGCTAGGGGGCCTGCAACATTTTCAATTTTGCCGTGTTGGGCTTTCTTTAGGGATTCTTATTTCTCTCTATTTTACTTCGAATATTGGAAAGAAGTTTGTCAAAAACTCCGAGCATTAAAAAAATACTAATTGTTACATGTTTAGTTTTTAGTGTAAGATAGAACGAAATAAAGCATCCGTTCTGTGTCCTTATCCGAAGATTGACAAGTTGCTATTGCCATTTTGGGTGATTTCAGAGGTTACTATGGCATGACGGTCTTCCCCAAAAATGCAAGTATAAAAGGACAGATGGGTCAAAATCTTCGAATTAAGATGTGGAAAACTTCCAACAGTTAACTGACTATAAAATTCAAGCTATACGAATAGATGATATGCCAGTATATTAGATTATTACATAGTAATAATTAAGGGATATGGTAGTCAAATATGGAGATTTTAATCAAAAAGTTTTTCTCCCCGAATATTTATTATTTACAAAATTGAATTTATTGGCAGATGCTGTGTAGTTTTATGTGACAGTTTTGAAAATAATAGCATTGTCATTTGTAATCTGAATAATTCGACAGCAAGACCGAGCGAGCGCCTTTACAAATTGATATTTCACAGATATTGGAATTTATGAAGGGCAGCCATCGTCTATATAATAAAAAGCCCTCAAGCGCATAATTTGCTGGGCTATGTCATATATTACTTTTACTAGTAGTTGCATAACATGTTAATACCGTGATATCATAGAACCCGTGATATCATAGGAACCGAGTATATACACATTTCTAAAGTGGTGGCATCTTTTAGTTAAATGGTGCCGTGATTATGATAAATAATAATTACTGTTGCTTTTGAAGTTGGTGATGTTGTTTAGATAGATGTTGCTTGTCATTATAGTATATGGTGCTCTCTTTTCATATACTGTGCTGTGATTTTGATAAATGGCGATGTCATTTTGATAAATGGTGATATGGTTCCGAGAAATGGAATTCTGGTCTTAATCGGTTATGCTATCATTTTGATAATTTTGGTATATAGTGATTTTATTTTGTTAGATTTGTGCTGTGATTTTCATATATTGTTCTGTTATCATGTATATGGTTCAAAATGACCTCACCATTCACCGAAACAACAGCATTAGATCTAAAAACACCATAGCACCATAAAGCAGAACCATCACAATATATGGTTCCAAACTCCATCACCATCTTTCAAAATGGCAATCACCATATATTGAAACGACATCACCATCTATTATTTAAGTCGCAGCACCGTCTATAAAATGACAGCAACATACGCTTTTATAACATCACCATCTATCAAACCGATATATGAAAACGATAGCATCATCTATTCAAACGACAGCACCATATAACGATAAATATATCACCATACGACCATTACGACATCATAAATTAGCAAAATCATAACATATTATCACTTTAGAATACATGTATGTATATAGGAGGCGGCTATGGCGTTCCATAATAATCTTTTTTTTTTTTTGAAACATGAAATATGTTTTAGAAAGAATCTCGGCCGTATATAATCTGGTTACAGTGACACAAAGGTAAAGTGTGTGTGTTTTATTTATCTCATGAGCACGAGACACTGTCGTGGCCACGAGCTAAGCTACTTACTCGTGGCCACGAGTTACTTAGTCGTAGGCATGAGATAATTAAGTCGAGGGAACGAGATACTATGTCGTGGCCACGAGTTATTAAGTCGTTGGAACAGATAATTAAGTTGTGCGCACGAGATAAAAAAAACAATCAGATTACAAGAGATTTATATTAATTTTCCTAGTGCTATATAGCCGGTGCTTGGGGGCGTGAGGGATGTTGCACTTATTCATTATCCCTCCTGTGCAGACTCAATCAAAACCGATTTTTCATGTAATTTTTTGTTTTGTTTAATTCCGAGGGGATCACTTTGTTTCAAGATTTTTATACTTCACAATAGCAGGTGTCAAGTGCTGTGTGGCAGCTGTAAAAAAGTTTCCCGTACTTCACTTCTGTGTTGTTATATTTTGCTGGTATTTCGGGATCATTGATGCCAGCACTATTAAGTGTTGAAAAATGAGTACCGCTCAAGCCAGTGCTAGGTGGCGTGTGGGATGTTGCACTTATTCATTATCCCTCCTGTGCAGACTAAATCAAAGAGAGTCTGTATTTTTCATACATATGTTGATTGTGATTAATGCTTCCGGGGATCACTTTGTTTCTAGATTTTTATACTTCACAACAGCAGGTGTCAAGTGCTGTGTGGCAGCTGTAAAAAGTTGCCCCGTAATTCACTCCAGTGTTGTTATATTTTTCTGGTCCTTCGGGATCATTGATGCCAGCAAGTGTTGCGAAATGAGTACCGCTCAAGCCGGTGCTAGGGGGCGTGAGGGATGTTGCACTTACTCATTATCCCTCATGTATAGACTCAATCATACCGAGTCTGCATTTTTCATGTTATTTTGTTGTGATAAATGCTTCCGGGGGATCACTTTGTTTCCAGATTTTTATTTATCTCATGCCCACAACATAGTATCTCGTGGCCACGACATACTATCTTGTGACCAGGATATAATTATCTCGTGGCCACGACTTAGTAACTCGTGACCACGAAATAGTATCTCGTGCACAGTACATTGATAAAAACACACACACATACAAGTCACATTTGTGCCACCGTATCTGGTTGAATCGTTGCTGCGCAAATTCTGAGGTGTAAAATTGATGCAAAAAGTTCAAAGAGCCTTTCATCAATACTTTGAAGCGATATACTCAGTTGCTATTTGAGATTTGAGATTTTCTCTATTCCAACAAACAACTAAACCAAGTACTTAAAGTTACTGATGGAATGCGATTTTTTCTACGATCCAAATGCAATTTATGACCCAAACTCTTACGGTTATGTTGCCACAGTACAGATCAGATAAAGCAACAACTGCAGGATATGGAGCTTGTGGCCGTGTTGTTAAGTGTATGCCTTCGAGCCACTTGCCGTTCATCCAAAAAGTTCGAATACCGCCAGGCACTTGGGATTCTTTCACAAGACAAGCTATTCAACTACCCTTGCAGAAATATATACTGGTATTTAAAAAGTCCCAGTATTTCCCAGTTATGATCCTAGAAAATTCCAGAATGTTAAAACCAGTCTTGGCTATTCTAGTGTGGCCTAGGAAATACCAGTTACTGAGAACTAGGCATTTCTGATAATTTTTAAACAACTCATCAATTTCTAAGTTATACTAGGAATTGTAATTTATTTTCTGAGATTTCTAAGACTTAAGATTTTGCAAAATTCCTAGTCTTTAGGAATTACTTAGAATTTATCTTGTAGGACAAAATCCTTAACATCTGTGCTAAATTCCTTGAATCTTACATAAATTCCTAAAGACTAGGAATTCTCTTTGTTGAAAGTAAACAAGTAGATAAAGAAGGAAGACAATAAAATTGAAAATAAAAATGTTTTTTTTTAAATAAAACAACATAGGGCCTACTGATCTAGATCTATTTAATAATATTTTTCTAGGATTACTATTATTATTTAGATTCTAATTGAAATTTAATAATCAATTGACCTTAATGGTCAACCTGCATTTCTGACAATTTTATCATTGGCCATTTAATTAATAGATAATAGGAGTATATAATCCAAAAAGAAATAACAAATGTACAGGCACTCCAAGTAAATCAAAGACGTATTATTATAAACCTTAAAAAAATCAATAATTGACATCTGAAGTATGTAATTTTTATCAGTTGTGTAGAGCTATTTTTAGCGCTGTCAAATTGCATCCACTGATGTCATGCTTCAGTGCACAGGCTGTGTGTATAAACCACTTTATACATTATACTGCCTGTTGACATTTTTATGGAGTGTGATTTGAACATATGTAGATCTAATTAGGGGTGGATTTAAGGTGATAATTATTGCATAGTTGAAAATCCAAAGTGGCAAATTGACTCTTGTGCAGATTTTTTCAGGTGTCATATTTGTGCATTTCCAAATTTTCACGAGTCAAAACCCGAATCCCCGCGTCAATCGAGAGTCCTGAATTAAAGAATGCTGACGGATATTAACGATGATAACTTAGTCTTTACTTAACCAGCGAACCTTTACGATTATACTCGAGCAATATCCGTATATTTACGCTAACCAAGACGAGCATAATTTCATGACGTATTGGATACGTATACTGATGACGTAGCAACACAATTGTTTTGGAAACTACTGTAGCATTGTATGAAATTCAAGCGCTTGTTGGGCTTAAAATAATAGATTTTTGAAATAAAATTCAACGATATAATTGAAATTATTCAGTCATTGTATTGACGGAAAAAACAACAGAAGTACACGAAATTTTGCGAATCAAGCACATGTTACTGACGTAGTACACATGTTTATTACGTAGAACACAGGTTTATTGTGCGCGCAATCTATTCAAAGACGGCAGACACTTCGTCTCTTATCAACAGTGAACTGATATCGTCTCCCCAATAAAGACATACAACGAGGAATGTGAAATAGCTTAAGCAAATTATCAGAAGAAGACCTTCAAAGCTGCAATCGGTGAAATTCACTGTGAGTATTATCATAAATGCACTGATTTTTTCCCAAACAGAGCCGGCGTGTTTATGACCCCTAGAAAAAATGAAGAGTCTAGAGATTATTTTAATGACCTTTCTTAATCTTCACTTCTAAAAGCATTATTTTGTAACAATTTGCCGACTGTAACAATAGAAATAATAATTGTATTTCCAGCTTATTCCTAGTTACAGTTAAGATACTTAAACCTTACTGGAAAAAATGCGTAAACGGACATTTGTCACATATTTTCGCGACCTGTTTTTATTTATTTCTTTGTTGAACAGGAAAGATATAATAATAATGAATAAAAAAACAAAGCATCGTTGAAGATGGTTGTGCTTCCCTGCAGGAAATTATTTGCTTATGCCCTCTAAAAGTTTAAAATATTGTTTTGATCTAGTTATATATTAGAATATGATAAACAAGATCAACAAGAAAAGGTAATGTTCAATAAGCCTACATCATGTCTGTATTTTAAAATAACACATTACTGACTGTATTTTTAAATCACAATAAGATACCTCCAAAAATTTATTTGAAACAGAAATCGGGTAAAGTCAAAAATAATGAGGCAAAAATTTGAAAATAGGGTCAAAATTGAAATTTCATATTTCTACTTATTTTTCACCTAAAACCATGTGATATTGATTGCTGTTTAATGCCGAGTAATTGGATTTTATCTAACACAACACAAATTGTATAAATCAACATTTTATTTCAACTTATTAACAAAAATTAACAAAACCAATGCTTTATAAAATTGTGTCACTATACTTCCCAATGTTAATTAAATCATATGTGTTGTTATATTTTAGTAACAGTAGTGATGTAGGGATAAAAAATATACCATTTTTTTACCAGTAGTTTTTACAACAGAAAAAAAAAAATGCTATTGTTTTGTTACTAAAGTCTGATTTTCTTTAATGTAAGAACATCAAGTTTTTCTAAAGTTGGAGAAAATTTGGCAGAGAAATAAAAAAGTAGTTGTAAGTATGTATTAATAATTGCTTTGATGTAAAATAAAGTTTCCAAATATTTCAACCTCTCAAAAAAAAAAAATAAGCAGTCAAATTTAACTTGTATTTTATAAAAAAGCGTTACACTCCTGACATGACTAGCATAAGTTGTTTAAATGATAATAGTTCTTTACAGAAAGATTGGAGGTAAAAATAACATAAGAAACACATGTACAGAACACGACTGATTTTTGAAAACATACTGATAGGTTATTACATTTGAGAATAATTCTTAGAGCATAGATATGAAGTTACACTTAAAACCACAAACAAGTTTCTAACATGTAAACAATTAGAAAATAAATGGAAATAAAGGTTATAAACATTAATTAAGCTTCTGTTCCTAACCAATAGGAATTTAATATTAAAATGACCATGAAGAATCTATTTCACAAAAAAATGCACAATTTCACTTTAACATTTGAGTGTTACACTCCTGACACATTCAGGCAAGAGACTTAATATCTTAAAATATTGATTTAAAATATTTTTTAATGAAATACTTAAGACAAGTATAAGTTTTCTATGTTAATTGTTCCTTTTTGTTTATCTTGCCTTTTTAAAAACACTTTGTTAAAAAATAAGTGACCTTTTTCAAACCTTTACTATATATATGTGAACCATCTGAGTGTAAACATTTTCTTTTTTATATATGTTCTACTTGCTTTCTACCCCTGGTAGAAAACCATGCTGGTTTAAGAGAACATTTATTTAAATAAAAAGATAAAAAGAAGCTACAAATTTAAACTACATAAAGTACAAACTTTAACATGAACTGTTCAAACTGTGTTACACTCCTGACACAAGATGTGCACTTTGAACTGTTAATTTGAAAATATATGATTTCTATGATCTTAAGTCATTCAAGTTAAAAATTGAAGCGGTATTCCGCGCCCAGAAAGAAGAATTGTCATTTTAATTGTCTGAACAATATCTTCCAAGGACTGCCAGGACACATCCTCCTTGGCTGGCCAATTGTACTCGTCAGCACCTCCACTTGCTTTAAGGTACCTAACTTGGATGTCATCATCTGCCTGTGATATTACCTATTCAATAAGTAGTTAATATAATTAAATGAAAAGAAAACAATCACATTTCAAGTTCTAAAATTAGGTCATAAAATTACTGAGGAAACTAATGAAAAGTATACAAAAAACAACATGACCCAGCAATGTACAGATATGTTCTTCTGTTTGACTTGACAGCTACAGCTACAAAATCTTCAGGGTTAAATATGCAATATGATAATTGAAAGGTTTATACTAACTGTGTCTTTAAAAGATACATTTCTAAAATTATTGGTTGAAATTCATCTGACAAAGAACAGAAACATGCTTAATTTATCCTTCTATATATATAAGATATTTATTTTGTCTTACCTATTTAAACGCTGCAAGCTAACATAATGTTCTATTTCTGGAATGTTACCATCAACAATGTTGGTAGGGAACTGTCTCCATCTCCAATGGTTATGTTAGGAGTATCCCCATGAACACATTTATCTTGCAAGACAGGGCTTTGCACATATTCTGTAAACACACATGGTCTGTATCTAAGGTTCCATTCTTTGACATATTTTCTATATATTTGGTTAAGTCACTTGCCAAGATTTGCTCTAATTCCAATTTGTCAGTCTGAAAAATAAAATTGTAAATTGTATTTTTTTATTAAACCTATGATTTAAAAATATAAAATTACAAGTTTTTTAAATAAAAAAATTAATAATTAAATGAATTTCAGGCATGACTTTAAAACTAAGCTTGATAAATACCTCTGGTAAGTTTTGCATGTGATGAATTACTTTGCTTCTCAACTGAGTGTGACTTTGTTGAGTCATCCCAAGGGCATGTAACTGATCACTGCTGGCCCAAAAGAAACAATTGCCGTCATCAGGAGTAGTACCTGGAATCTTCCAACCTTTTCTGCGAATTTTATTTTCAAACTCGCTTAGAGTTTCATTTTTATGCTCTGTTGAGTTGTTATATATATAAGACTCAATGCTGTCTGTAAGCACACCTCTCAGGTTAGTCTCTCTCTCACAATTGTTAGTATTACTAGCTACTACTTTATTAAGGTTAGGTATTAAGCAAAAAACAGAGCAAAAATGCAGTGTTTTGGCAGAATTCAAATGGTTAGTATTTTAAAAGACTAAGGACTACAATAACTGAAAATTGAATATGCAGGAACTGCATTCAAAAAAATGTGATAACAAAAATGATTGCAGAATTAACAGTAATTATCATAGATGAAAAAAAAATTACTGTATGTCTTTATTGTTATTGACTTTGTTACTGTGTTTAGAAATAATGTCAAATCTCATCATACTAATTGGCATATATATTTGTTTACATGAGTTTTATAGTGTTTTTTTTATATCTACTTCAATTGTTTATTAGTCTGCTGAAAATAAAACAAAGTTAACTACAATTGCCGAAAAAGAAAAAAAATGTCAGGAGTGTAACACTTTTCACTATTCTCACATACTGTATTTTACTCATATTGCATACTTAATCTTCAATAATTGTATATAAATGCTTTGTTCTGCAAAGAGTATATACATGATTTTAATTTCTCAGTAATTTCTTTAGTGTACTATCATTAAATTTCAATGATTATACTTGTCAATAGTAGACATTTAGGAAATGATGGTATTTAAGTAAATATACTAAAAACAGAACTTAAGCATTGTGGTTTCTTAAAAAAAAACAAAAAAACAAATACTTTATTACTTTTCCTTATGAATAGTGGCAAGAATCATATTTAGATACGAAATTTATATGGTATATTCATGAAATCGTTACAAGGTTAAAAGATGGCAAAAATAGTGTTACACTCCTGACATCACTGATGATCATGTACAGAAAGTGCATGATTTAGTTAACTTGAACTAATGTCACTGCTGACATCACTTGGACTCATGTTTTTGAAAAAGAAAGAACATATTAATATAACACCTTATATGCAATAAGGAAATCAGTAAAAGTACAAGATGTTACACTCCTGACACTGAGCAGTGTCATTATTTTGAATCGAAATCGAGTCAATAACATTTATAGCATAGAAAAAAAAGAATTTATATTCTTAACTATATACAATGGTCAAAATTTTAGAAGCAAGGAAAAGCTTTTAATAACAAGATATAAGCAGAAAACTTTACTGTTAGTACAAACCATGCTTTTTTTAAAGTACATTTTATTTTTACAACGACTGACTTTAGTGACTGGATAACCAAGTGGGATACCTACATTTTACAAAGAAAATAAGAAAAAGCAATTGCGAGAGCATAAGAGATATATAACATAAGTGACAAAAATTGTCATTTAAGAAACTGTTTTTCTGTATCAGGAATAGAGAATCATCATTTGTGTAAAATGTCACACTAAAAGTGTTACACTCCTGACATTTTAGGGTAATGTCTTCCTTGTATCCTTTTCACTTGTAGCGTGTATGTCCCTGAAACTTGGCATATTTTACAACACTGATAGATGCTATATTTAGCACTTATAACAATATACACAACTATTAAAATATTAATCTGGGTAGCCTTTAAATGTTTGGCCTCATTATTTTTGACTTTACCCAATCATGTTTTCTGTTTGTTTTTGATTTGTATGTGTGTGTTTGAGTGTGATTTAATCTCTAGATTTCTGTGCATGTATAGGAATTATTGGACCACTAAAAAGTTGTCAAGGCCACCAAAATTTATTCGGTCAGTGGTCCAGTCCCAGGTGACAGCCTAGCTAAAATGGTTTGTCTTTGACACTGCCTAAGCCTATACTAGAGAATCTGAATACTGGTCCATTAAAATAAATCCCACATGATGATTTGCAAAGAACAAAAATAGCACAAACAGTGACTGTCATACTTTAAGCACTAACCTGAATACATTGCCTTAATCTCAGTCATTGAATTTAAGATTTTTGAATATACTTGTCCGAATTCCAGTTTTGAATTTATTCTACTATATATTTAACTTAATTCTCTTAAAATTTACACTGGTCATGGGCCACCGGACGAGTGCTTAAATCGATGACTGTAATCTGTTATTGTATTAGGGGGCAGGGCGTGTAGTGGTTGAACACGCTTGAACAAGATATTTTTGTGGCCCCACTTTAGTGGCGAACATTTAGATTTACCCTTGTCCGTCTGTTCTCTTTTGTGTCGGATGTAACTCAAAAAGTATTTGACCTAGAGTCATGAAACTTTACAGGAATGTTGATCAGCATGTGTAGTTGTGCACCTGGGTATTTTTGTCTGGATTTATATAGTATTTTTAGAGTTATTGCCCTTGACTTAGTAAAATTTTGCAATTTTCAACTTGTTGCATGTAACTCAAAATGGGTTTGACATAGAGTCATGAAACTTTGCAGAAATGTTGATCAGCATGTGAAGTTGTGCACTGGATATTTTCGTGTGGATTTATTATCTTTCAGAGTTATTGACCTTGACTTAGAAATTTTTTGCAATTTTCAACTTGTCGCATGTAAATCAAAAAGGATTTGACCTAGTCATTAAGCCTTACGGGAAGGTCGGTCAGCATATGACTAGTTGTGTACCTTGGGTTCCGCTTGTGGATTTATCCCGTATTTGTAGAGTTATTTCCCTTGACTTTGTAAAAACCGTTTCATTATGTTGTGTTATTTGTTCCTTGAGTGCTTGAGTTAGAATCAACCAACTTTACAGAAATAATGATCAACATCACTAAATTACAGGAATAACAATGATAATAAATAATAATAAAAAAATACTCTGTACACAGTATATTTTCATTTAAGTTTGCCTTTTTTGGTGAACTTCAAAACTTACATATGTGAATAAATGAGCATAAAAACCGCCCTGGATTTTCACTTATCAAATTTCAAAATATGTACATGACCAGTTTATAACTTCAATAGCTTTGTATATAACCAAAAGCTACAAATCTGAGCCCAGAACAGAGTGTGTCATAAACACTTCCTTCATGAATGGCCATTTAAAAAGAAAATCAAATAACATACAAACCCACTTACCTGAAAATATATGTGAGAGTTTTGTAAATATTTAAGACACAGAAACCATTTTGTCAAGTTTTCAATGATTTTACTCGCTTGAACCAAGTGTGCATTCACTTCACGTCCTGCCAAGTGATTTGTATTTATTTCGTATTCAAATATCTTGGTATATTTCCATATGTAGAGAAATGTATTTGTTTGATTTCAGATAAGAATTGGTACCACAAGGCCACAAAGGGAGGAGTTCAACTTACTCGTGGATGATGTTCAAAGCTGAGGAGAGTGAGAGCTTAAATCTATAAAACGGGTCAAAAACTTTTGATATAGAAACTGTCATAAATTCTTCAGTTAATTGAAAGAGGGCAAGTTGTACAAAATGCCATGGAGCTAAATATACATGGAGAAGAAACTGTGATGTCACACAGTTAAATTCAGTATTGTGTTCAGAATTGTGGCAGAATTGTGTTCTTATAAGTTATCATATGTCGGGGATTTTCAGAGATTTGATGCATCCTGGGTAAAAATAGCCAAAACACCGTCATATTGAATTCCCGGAGGAAGATGAAACATTTTTTTGCTTAAATAAGAAGCAATAGTTATTTATCGTAAAAGGTACTATACACACTTTTCTATACAAATATTTCTCTGATGAAAATCTATGTAGGGGTATGTAAACAATAATTCATGGATATCGTCCAAGTTTAACGAGAGTGCGAAAATTGGAGACTATCGGGAAAACCCAATTATCACCGAAGCCTGCAAAGGATTGTGGGTCTGAATCTGACTATTATCTATTTTTAGAGCTTCCTATCTGTTGTGTGTATATATCTGTGAAAATGCAAAGAAGTCGTTGGATTACCAAAGATCAACATTTCATTTGATTACCAGAGATCATCAATTCACTGGATTAAAGATTTGATGACAAGAAAATTATTAAACCGGCAAAAATTGGATCTTACAGCAAGGATTTACTCATTTCAGAAGACAGCAATAGAAAATGTAGGAGTTGCATGTAATACTGGAGGTTTCTTGCGTCATGTTTTGTACTGTTTCAGTGACATTTCTTAGACTGTTTAAGTGATGTCCCTCATTCAATCAGTTAAGAAAATGATGAAAAGCAAATTAAAATCTAGGAGTGACCTAGTCAAGTATTATAATGTTTTAACTTTTAGTGCTAAATTCAAAGAGGTGTCACATGTTACACTATTTTAAAAAAGGAATCTTAAGTCAAGTGTTATTGCCAAAGCTCATTGCATTCCAGTAACTACAATGATATATCTAAAGAAGTGTGTCTAAACAATACAAAAACAATTAAACTGTAAGGAAAATACTTTGTTTCATATGCAATCATGCTTTTTATTAAATTTAATAGTTTGCTTATGACTGATGTTGAACTGCTTGTCATTTAACTGGATTTAAAAGTGCACATTTTAGTTCACATCAGTGTAATGTGCTTATGTGAAGTAATGTGATTGCCCTGTGTCCAATGGCATCTTGTATTAGTCTAGAGTTTCAAGCACGTTCCTCACAAATTTTTCAGATATTGGAGGAATTCGAAACAATTGGTCAGTTTTGAAACAATTTGAATTATGATCTCTTAGTCTAGTTTTATATGATTCGGGATAGTTTTTGACAGTAGGTGCCCTTTTAAAAATACTTGTGAAGAATTCATTAAATTTTGTTGCGCTTTCAGCAGGATCAGTGATTGGTTCTCCATTTTCATCGTTAATGAATTGAGTTTGAGTATTAGTATTTTTCCCTGATAGGTGTTTTAAATTTTGCCACATTTTCTTTGTATCTTTTTTATTTTCATTGATTACTGTGTTGAAAAAATTCTTTAAATAAAGTCTTTATTATTATTATTATTATTGTCAGCAATTTCTTGTAATGATATCTTCTACAAAACTGATTATTTGATTTTAATCATAATGATCCTTTGGTGGCCCTAGTAACAGTAATTCAGCTGTGGTCCAGTCATACGGGCAGTTGCTAGGAATTTCCAGTACAATGCAATCCTAGGCTATTCCAGCCATTCCTTAGATCATGGAAATACAGAACGTCTGGATATCCAAGTTCTTTGAAATGCCAAGGAATTACTAGAAAAAATGTTCCAAATACCGTGGGCAAGTCATTCTCAGTCATTCCTAAGATTATAAAAATACCAGGAGTTACTGCTATTATCATAGGTCTTTGAAATGCCTGGGATGGACTAGAAAAATGTTCCAAATACCGTGGGCAGGTCATTCTCAGTAATTAGGATATCCAGTACAAGTCAATCTAAGGCATTCCTGGATTCACATTTTTTTCTAGTTATTACCAGTAGTTTTCAGTCGTTCCAATTACCGCCAGCCAGTAACTGGAAATTCCTCAGATTTCCTTGCATTTCCTAGGAATTATCCCTGTAAATATTCCTGGGATTTCCCAGTAAAATCCTAGTAAAATCCTGGTAAATTACCAGTAATTTCTGCAAGGGTAGCTTTTGATACGTCGATGATTCTACTAAGGTGCCCGCTTGTGCCTGAAATAATGCACACACGGACACTCGAGGTCCAATGTACCTGTAAAGCAGAAAACTCGCCATATGACATTTAAGGTTTCGATGTGACTTAAAAAGCAACCCTAAGAAGATAAACAACTGCTGTGGATATACTACAAATATGTTACTAGTATGGTACAGGTCCATTTGAATCAATTACAACTAGAACTGCCATTCCATGGCGTAAGTATCCCCGTAAACCGCTTTGGCAGCATCAACAGTGGTCATTTAGAGCTTGAGGAAAACCTCCCTGTCAAATCTGAGGTTAGTAAGCCAGTGCATTGCTAAGTGATGTATATCTACATGATTTTAGTAGCAAAGATCAAAGTGACCTTTGCCTTTGACTGCATGACTTGAATACCCCCACCCTATCCATACAGCTTTGCCTGGTGGTGTTTTATGATGAATATATGAGAACATAATTATATGCTTCAAATGTGGAAAAAAGTCTAAAATCAATACACTCACTGTGAACAAGCAATTTTTAAGCATTTGAGCAGACTAGCTTATAGTTGTAAAAAAACCCCGTGACCTTGGCCTTGTCACCCAGTGACTTCCTGTACGAAAAATCAGCATGGCTTTTATGAAAAACAGGACCGATTCAGGCCTGTTTTGAACCAGAATTGGCAAAATCAGGGTGAAATAGACATGGACCCCTGAATTTTTCAATAAATCTCACATGGGAATTCAAGTATTTTCTACCCTGACACCGTCTTCATTTTGGTAAAAGTCAGGGTGGAGGCAGGAATATTTGCACTTTGAAAATATTTTCACTCAGATTTTACTGACTTTGAAAAAATATAAGCAAAATCTACCCAGATATTTCAAAGTTAGAAAATGTTCAAGAACCAGTTTCAATACATTCTTTTAAAGTTCTTCATTTCCAGCCTGATTTTTCTGACTTAGAGTTATTAGAAATGAATATTGCGCAATACACTAATAATACAGTTTACATTGCTGTTGAGACAAAATTGAATTTTAAATTCAGAAAAAATGTTTTATAATATTTATTCTAGACAGTATATCTTTATGGTAAACTCCATTTAACAAAAATTATTTTCATTTACTGAAATTTTTTTTTTTTTAATTAATATGTGGATTATTTTAAAAATCGTAATCAATAGCGGATCACCCTAATGTTCTTGATCAAACATCCATGACCAAAATGAAGACAGAAAAGTCAATGCCCTTGTGATCTTAACCTTTAACCCAGTGAGCGCGTGGTATTCAACTGTTCCAACTATCACATGTATTAAACTCATTTACCAACAAACAAATAATCTAATAAATTTTAATAGTCTAAGAATGTATATAATATATTTTCTTAACATGATACTTGTATTGATTTTTAAATAAATTAAAATTTTATCAAAATTATGATTAAACATCCGTTTATACATTTAGCCTTTCTAATCTATTCTATATTGTTGAAGACAGCACTCTAGACTAATCAATATTACTCGGACTACAGTAAAGGAGAGAAATCTCCCCCATGAATATGACCAAAGTATGTAAGGTTTCTTAAGTATATATAACTTTAAAGTTCAAAGAGAAATACCGCGTGTGCACGAGAGGTTACAATAAAATTTTTCCCTTTTATCTCGTGCACACGTGTTACTGAGTCAGCGCATAAATAATAAAGTGCGTGCGCCGCCAAGATACTAAGTTGTGTGCACGAGTCATTAAGTGAATTGCACGTTAACTAAGTCGTAGGCACACTTACTATGTGATGTGCACGGGATACAATATCGCTAACGAATTACTGCATTTAATCACACTTTAAAGGCATTTAACGAGAGCTGATATCCAAGTTATGCCACCAAAAAAGACAGTAATTCTGGGTTGACACTAAAGCGGTAAATACCTAAAAACGTGGGGTATGGGGTATGAAAAAAATGTTATCACAATCATATATGTACCTCTTTAAGCGCATGTTGAGCATAAACAAACATTCTGTAGTTAGATTGTTGTGTGTGATATTATCATTATATTTAGCTGTAACCACCATCTTGCTCAGTAAGAACGAAACCTAATAATTTGAGCAATAAGTTATAGAGTACCTTGAAAAATCTATATTTAAAATTTCTATTTTTAGTTATGGCGCGCCAAAATTGATCAACATACAAAAACTGTGGCCATGCTTGTTATAGAAATCTTATTCAAGGATCATTGCAATAGAGTTTCAAAATAATTAAGGAGTAGATCTTGTTTAAAGCCCCTGGACTCAAGATGATAAAATGAAAAAAAAAAAATCAAGTAAAAGGTTAAATTTTTTTATACTGGTCTGGTTAGGTTTAATGTGTAAATCTATTATACTGACATCTTAAATTGAAGAAAGAATTTTGACAAAAAGCGTCACTAATAATTATTGTGTTTCCTTCTTTGCATTATCTACTGCGTAGCCAGATATAATTACGAAAAGTTAATTCCCATTCAAACATTTTGACGTGTCACAACAGTGGTTCGGAAAAAATCCCGGAATCCGGTACGCTCGGTGTAGAATATTAATGTTCTTTCATAAAGGTTTAAATCGATATGGTTATAAATTAATAAATTATAATTTTTTGAGGTGCAGCAATTACTACAAATATCAAAACGAAAGCAGTTTATTTGTTTCCCTCTATGTTGATACAATCTCGAATTCTGTGCGTTCCGGTGCACAAAGCCGCGATATTGTCCTGGTACTAAACAGAAACCAAGACGAATAAATTCCGTAGTTAAATTGTAAAAAAGAAGGGCATATCCCATTTGGCAGAAAAGCTAACTAATTGTTTTCAGGGCAAAAATGTTAAACTATGATCATTTATAAGTGATATTTTAATATATTAGCAAGCCGGTATTTGTTTCTCTTATCTTTTGGCCCCGTGTTTACAAAGATTTAAGGATCAGGATCAAGATTCAGGATCAAATCTAAAAACTTTAATAATTTCTTCATTGTTTATCCTCATAGATTATTAATATTAATTTGAAAATTTAAACTGGACTTTGCAAAGTTAATGGCAAGTTAATCAAAAATTTATTGTTTTTTCTGCAAGATGAGCGGCATTTACAGTTGATCCAAATATTGATCCTGATTCCTAAAATTGATCTTTATTTTGATCCGAATATTTGGTATTTGTTTTGTTTAATGTTGATTTTTAATCAAACCAATTGTTTGGTTTCTTTGCGAAACAGCATTTTTTACATTTTGAAAAATTTACCATTTAAAATCTAGCAAAACACAATTAATCTAAGTAACATAAAACAATGAAAATAAAATCACCCCCCCCCCCCCCCCCCCCCCCCCCCCCCCCCCCCCCCTGGATAAACTTGATCCTATGCTGATCTTTTCTTAATGAACACAAGGCCTTGAGGAGTGCTACTTTATAGGTGTTTCTTTTATAAAACAGGCGTCCATCACATTCAGTAGACGTAAACAATTTAAAGAAAGTCGGAAAGTCTTAGCCACTAGGGGTGGAAAGTCATTAAACAAGAGCTGTCAGAAGGACATCCGCGCTCGACTTTTTTAGTTGCTTGCCTATAAAACAAAACTTGACAGTTAAGGGCACACAAGACTTTAACTAGGAATTTCTAAGTACAAATCAAGAAAACATTTTCACAGAGTTATCTTCTCTTGCTTACAGATAGGTCTCATGATGGCACATAAGAACTCCAACTTCCAAAGTAATATCTCAAATGGTTAGTCAACAAGTGGACAAGAATGAAAATTTTTAACTGAGTTTCTAAGTCAAAAAAGGGCCATAATTCAAATAAAATCCTTAACAGAATTACCTTCTCCTGCCCATGTTTGGACCATGATGGGTAAACAAGTATTCCAACTTTCAATTTAATATCTCAACCAGTTCAG